AAACATCCTGAACACATGCCCAGGCATCTCTGATTCTGCAAATCCTATCTGATGGCCCCAGTCTTCAAGAGGGACTGCAACCCTTCAGATGGGGATAGGAAGGGCTTGAGGGATAGTTTTGCAAAGGCTTCCAGTCAAGCTCAATTATCTTCCTTCTGCCAGTTTTACAGACGTTTGTAATATTAGCTAATGTCACAGGAAAGTATTTTCAGACTTCCTTTCCCCCCTTGTGGTACAAACAGAAGACATCACGTTGAAGTAGTCAGAAGAGTGAACTGTTGTTCACAGTGCTCTTTCCAGCTACTTAACAACAAAATTAAGGCATCCATTTAGAAGTGCCACCTCCATAATGGTCTTAGGAACAGTGATTCATTATCCCTCAGATCTTCAAAGTAGCTAAGATGTGCACGTCCTCAAAGACTTAGAAGAAAGGTGTTTAAATGTTATTATTTTTCATCACCATGTCTTCCCTTGGTGACTTTTCATCACATGGATGCTTCCAACTTAAACTGGGAAGGTCTTTGGAAATGAGATTGTGTAAATTAAAAAAAAAATATTCTGTTGAGAGAAGGCCTTCAGATTAATGTTTAAATATTCAGCAGTCTTTAGATGGAGAAATGGGAGTGCTAGACTGGCTCACACACAAATTAACACACAAAAAAGAAAAGCACCACCTTTAATTCCGTGGAAACCTAGGCACATGACAAGAGGTCACTGAGAAAAATGATCACGAGGACACCAGAGCAGGTCCAACCTCTACTGTTGTGTTTGTTGTGTTTTACCCTAATTTGAGAGCTAAAGAACTGACTGAAGATGAAGACAGTGTCCATTCTACAACTTGTGATCACGTCCCGGTTCCTAGAAAGGCATGAAGTACTTCACCCTAACACCGTGTGCTGGAAAGGGTCAGCAGCTCTGGCACATACAGATGAAGCAAGTCAGAGTCCTACATGGTATCTCAAGTTTCAGCAGCAGAGATGGCTTCTCTTCAGCTATACATTTCATATTCTCATGGCAGAGCTGCAATACCTAGGAGCAGGACTTGCTAAAATATTAAAAAGGCAAGATGCTTCGTGCATCCTGTCTGAACCTGACTGACAAAGGGTGACCAAACCTGCACTGAGAGATGATCTCTCGTCCTTTAAAACTTCCCAACTGGGTTTCCCAACGAGTATCAGGGAGCTGGCTGTCAAGCCCTCGTTCGTCAGCCTGTAGACAGGACTGTCTGCAGCCCAGGCTTACAGACCACAGAAAAGACTTGTTTTAACTCGATCAGATCACCGTGCACAACCCTTGTCAAGAGAGATCAACTGCATTAGCAGTGACCTCAGTAGACTGAGGCCCTCAGAAAATGCAGCATATTTTCCAACACACTGCTGCTATCTGCTGTATCTTAAATAGCCAAGGATAACGGAGAGCCAAGAAGTGAGCCAGGGAGGGTAGCCAGGAGGGGAACCAATTAAACTTGATTTGAAGCTGGACTCACAGCGGCCTGTTAACCACTGGGATCCTGAGAGCAAAAGATACAAATCTCATTAGTCAACAGGTCCGCATTTTTGTGCATGCACGTCTACAGAATGACATCCTCAACCACAAGCAGAAACACAAAACCTATTAAAAGTTGGATCAATGTTAGTTGTTTTTTTTTTTTTTTAATGTTTTAAACAGAAAAGTCTCCTCAGAAGTTAACACAACTTAAGAGCCTAAACACTTAGTCATTTTTAAACGGGAATTCTTCCTCGTGGTTTTACATTTTTCATGTGAGATGCTATGATCAAAGTTGCTGTAATTAAGTTAACACAAACAGTGGATACAGAGTGCTTTGAAAAATGATCTTTTTATACTTAGCAGCTTGATATATTTGAGGCCAGAACTGAACTAAAACTGTTTTTCTTTCAGAAGCATTTCAAACAGCTCACAGAAGTACACACATCCAGCAGAGAAAGAGAGAAACCAGAACCTCAACATATACTTATTTTTCCATCCTGCTGCTTTAGTGGGCTGCAAGACTCAGCTTAACGTTGAAATTTTACATAATTAACAAAAAAAACACACACGTAAACAGTCACAACATATATTATTCCCAAAGATGAAAAGAAGAAAGAGCACTGACTACTATTCAGTGGCTTTATCAAACACAGGCCTTCATGTTTCAGGACTGACAGGGACCTAGTTTGATGTTCTCTCAACCTCTGGAAGAGCTGCCTATTTGAGAAATTCGGTCAGCTAAGCCAGAGGCAGATGTAGTTTGAGTGCTAGACCTAAGTAGTGACTTGAAAGGCTGCACTGTGTGAGTGGTTCTCGTACAGAACGTGGCTTTCTCTTACTGCAGACTTGAGGTCCATGCCCACGAAATGAGAAGCCCAACCTAGATTGTCTGAAAAGGTGAAGAGAGTTCTTAATAATCCTGCATCATTTTGAGGGTGACAGCCTAGCACTAACGCAGAAACCTGAAATCCAGATATGCAGAGTTTAGGTACTTATTCTCCATTAACAGGCAGATATTTCTAGCAGTTCGTACATCTATTCACAGAAATAGCAAAAATCAGACTAAGAACTTCCTATCTGTGCTAACACCTGCTGCTTTATTATTGACTTTTGTAGAAGTAAGAGTCAGTCGTTGCTCTCTCATCTTAAGAATATTCCAAAGAACACACCAACAAAAGCAGTGCAAGAAAATTTATGCTACCAGCTTTTTCCTCCCAAGCATCACAATTAGACTATGGCAGTTAAGGACCTGCAGGGAAGTGTGGATGAAAGCACTTGCAAAGATTACAAATAATTTAACTGCACCTGTCTTTATCAATGTTTTGTATGAAGAGCTATTCTTACACATCTACAGCACTAGTCTATGAAAGACAGGACACAACATTAGAGCTGAGACCACAATGCGGGCCACCATGCCGAGGCACCAACAGCCCAGCCAAGGTGCACTCCACAACTGAATGGAAATGCTGGTCTGCTTCTAAGATGTGATCAAACCCCATGGGCACCAGGCATTCGCAGTTCCCTGGCAAAATATTTAGTCCAGCGTTTACAACCTAGATCAGATGTTCCCAAAGAGTAGCATACTCTGAAGTAATTGTACGCTATTCTTGATATAAGATACGCGTCTCCAGCTTCCAAATCTGTCCAGGCAGAGGCTTTCATCCAACCTGCAGGAATGCACACCTCCAGCCAACAGAACATGCACTTCCAGATCAGAATGTTAAAAAAAAAAAAAAAAAAAAAAAAGAAGGGAGGACTACGCTGATGAATGATGGGGAAAAACTAGGGAGCTGAAAGCAAAGGTACATGATGATGTACGGTTGGGCTAATATTCGAAACACGCCCTTTCTTCTTCCTAATCAATTCAAGAAACACTGCACAATAGTGAATCAACTACTAAAAGAAAACCAAAGACATCCATTTATAAATCTGTATTAGACGTTAAAAAAAAAATCACAAGTTATTGCTAACTAATGGGCAGAAACTAAAATGCTTGGCCTAATTATCTTTTTGACATCCTACACAACCTCAAAGTCCAGAGATTAAAAAAGCTGTAAAATCAAAGATTGTGGTCCAAAGCACTAGCTGGCATCCACCATGGCAAGGGAAATGTACTGGCCTTTTACCTAAAACCACACAATGGGAAGAGCTCAAGTAACTCCTTTAAGCATGACTAGGTTTAGAGCTTGGGTTATTCTTCAACCTCTTCCATTCCTATAAAATAATCTGCTCTCGCACCATACTGCACACTTCCCCAGTACTAATTGCCTCTAACATATAAAAACAAGCCGGAAAGAAATCTGACAGATGTAAGAACAATGCAAGAACTTTACACACCTCTCTCAATTAGAAGTGAAACAATGCCGCATGATTAGGTTAATTTAAAAATAGCTTTCCTCTTCCACACTTTAGCTGATGTATCTGTGATATGCTGATGCCTGTGGTGGTGACAGCATCAATTTCAAGACTCCAGGAAGAGGCATGCATTAGTTAATTCAAAACACATCAAAAGAATGATTTTGCTACCCAAACAGGGCACAAATTACAAACACAACCAGTGAAGCTAGCTGGGCATTAAATGTTATTAGAAAAATATATGAGAGAACTATGAAGGAGACAGTAAAAACGTCATCCACTAGCCTTCAGAAGTATTTATAAATTTTTTGCTGCTGTATGCTTCTGTAGTCATGAAAGCTGTGTCCTCCAGATGCTAAAACCCGTGCCTTTGACTTCAGATGGTGAAACCAGTTACCTTTGCACAAGTTTATCTGCTGGCTACTTAGATATAAGGGAAAGCAGTCAAGCACACCAAGCATCTACCATGGGAGGTAACAGCAGCAATGAGGCTGCTAATGGATCTTTAACTTTTATTTGGTTTAAGTATCACCCAGAGAGAGACTTTTTGGAAAACTACTTATTATTTAGAACAAAGATTCACTAGTCTGGAAGCTGTCACAACAGATCACATTTATCAATCAGATAACAAAGGGAAGTAACTCCCCTTGAGTCCAAAGTGCCCTCGGCTCAGTATTTGTTACCTTCTTGGTCTGCGGACTTCTTGGCTTACTCAAGTACAGCCTTCTACTTTAGAGATGCAACAACCAAGAACAAAGCCCAAAGGCTTCCATTCCTTCCAGCAGCTTAATTACTAATGACTGGAGAAGAGTCTAAGCTAGAAAAAAGTAAGTATAAGACAAGCTCTTCCCTTGTTTCCCCAGTTCATTGTCTAAAGAGCATAGGCTGCAACCAGGGAGCAGCACCACAGCATCAAATCAAGATTTTTAGCTTCCTGTTTTGCACTAATGCAAATAATAACAGCAATGACTCACTGAATTTCAAGTTAAACTATATTCCTTTATCATAAATCATCTGTTTAATCTTTGGTCTTGGAAAATTTTGTGTTTATGTGCTCCAATGAAAACAAATAAAAAAAATCAAAAAGATTATCATCAAAGAAATGGAAAACAAGATAAGATTCGTGAAAAATATTCTGAAGTTATGCATATTCTTACCTTAAATCTTTTATCCTGCAGGACTTTCTTAATGGCCACAAGCTCTCCTGAATCACAGAGTTTGGCTTGATACACAACACCAAAAGATCCATTTCCAATCACCTTGGTGTCTGTGTAGCTAACTTCTTGTGGTCGGTCTGGACCTTGTCCAGGAGTTGCCACTACTGTAGTCACTTTGCTGCCATCTTTGTCTCCTGGGAAGCAAGAGATATGAAAATAATTAAAATACGTTCATAAGAAAGATCCCCAATAAGAATGATACAGAAAAGGGTAAAAACTTAAATCAGCCTGTATATTTCAGTATCACAGAGGAAGAAAAAACTGTGAAAATACATAGAAAACACTGAGCATGTTTGGGGTTTTTTTGACACACAGTTGCCAACAATTTTTCATTTAGGTCATTGTTAACAGAAATACTCCCTTCCAGATGCAAACAGCTCGGCAACAAAACGTGCTGCATGACCAGAACAAGGACTTATTTCTACATCTGATTAACACAAGTGGCGTCACACGCGGTGTTCTTCTTATTACCAGAACCAAGCATTCCCCCGTATTTTCCCGTAACTGAAGAAACAAAACTGCCTGTGCAGCCTGCAGAGCAGCAAAGGGATATTCCGGCGCACGCCTGGCAAGAAAAAAAAAGCCAGCAGCAGTGACAAAGTGTGCTACAAACCAACCCACGCGGAATGCTTCTGCTCGTGTGCATGCAGAAGCAAAGCCTTTGACAGGGCTGGGACACCCGAGGTGAAACGGGGGCTGGCCTCCTGCAGCCCTGCAGAAAAGAAGCCCTCTTGTTCAAAGTCTGGTTTTGTTTGCCATAGGACCAAGGTTTTAGCCATTTTGCAAGCGCACGCCGGTATTTATTGTCCCTTGGCTCCGATAGCTCGGGTTGCAGCTCAGATAGGGCTGCAAAGAGAAGCCAGAAGGAACCTGCTGATCCGCGGCAAGCATCCACCAACTCCGCGCAAACCGAGCTTGAGGTGCCCATCGCATCTGCTTATCAAGAAAGCTTCCTTCCACGGCTTCCTCGGGGACTGTCTTCACAGAAACCTGCATCACCTTCACTGCTGTCCCAGCACCGTGGGCAGCCAAAATTAGACACTCCAGGGGGAGCTTACCTGAGCTCTGCCCAGCGAGCTCCTACCTCCTCGCGTCCGACTTGCAACACGCTTGTTTGTACACCCCGGCACAATGTTTGCAGCTTTTGCAACGCCAAGAACCTGGCTGACTCCTGACCCCTTTTGTGTGCTCAGCTCCTCTCCGCGGGGCCGCCGCCTGCCCAATCCCCGTCCACTTTCCACTTCCACACCTGGTTGTTGCTCTTATCGGCAGCGAACGCTCTGCGCTTGCCCCAGCTGAACCTCAGCCAAGGTTTTCCTAACAGCGTGCTGCCAGCTTCAAACACGGGGTGACCACCCAGAGGAGATCCATTTAACTGTTCCTCAGCTCTGAGTTACCTTCCAGATCCTTGCAAACTGTTTGTTTTATGCATTTAACTGCTCCGTGAAGCAAGTACGCAAATTTCAGAGTCAGTAAAGCACATTACTGCAAAGGGTGACAACGACTTGCCAAGCGATGCACAGCAGGTATGGCCCTTCCCCCAGAAACACCCACAGGAAGGTGAGATGCGGATTTACATATTTGACGAGGGAAAAAAGAGAAACAACAAAAAAAAAAAGAAAAAAAGGGGGAGGGGAGGAAGAGATGAACATCTGCCTAGAGAGGCGAATAAAGGGAACCAGAATAAAGCTGCATGGAAAATTCACCCTCCTCTTTGATAAGCGTAAGGAATACGTGGAATGAAGCCAGCAAGAGAAAGAACATTAAAATTCTTTTTTTTTGTAAACAAGTTGGAAGTGCAATTCTGATAGCAGCCCTGCGTTTTATTTGCCTGGCTTTCTGTCATTAGCATTCTAACTCAGCACACATAAATAGGTGACATCTGCTTTCCTGCAGCAATCCTCGTCATCTGAAAGGTAACCTCCCTGCTTCCTCACCTATTTTTTTCCAGCCTTGCTCACAAGGCCAGAGTCTTGGGATTCCTGGTAATGAGGCTCATCCAAAAATCCCCAAAATCAGGCTTCTGGAGTCTTAGAGGTAGACCCAAACTTGTCTCTGGCCCAGACCTGAAGCGCTCAGTCTCAGAGCTGCTCGAAGGGCACTCTTCGGAGGTGGGAGCCACTTCGGGGTCTCCTCGACCAGAAGGGCAAACCCTGCATCTGAGGCCACGTTGGGTGGCTCTTCCCTACTTGGCACTGCTGCCACCGGGCCAGTATCTCCAGAGCTTCGGTGAGAAGTCAGTCAGGTTTAGTACATTTCCTTTAAGCACAAGGGAAAACAGCTCCTAACAAAACTTGAAGACATGAATTGGCTAAACCAAGATCCCCTTGGTTTCTTTGCCAGCACGTTACAGAGCATTAAGCCTCCCAGATGTTTCTCTCCATGTCCCACGTCCGACCAACATTTCTTGTCACCCCTTCCACCAAGAAACACCCTAAGGACTCCCAACAGCTTCCACCTCATGCCCCAGCAGATAGATGGGCACTGTCCGACACACAACTCTCACCACCTTTGCTTGCAGAAGGTCTACAACACAACTGCAACACGGACTTGAAAAACTAAAGGAAGGAAGGAAGGGAGGACCAAACAGCTAAATACTACACAGCTCTTCAAGCTCACATGAGAGCAGTCACTACTGTTTGTCAAAAAGAAGCTGACTTCTGGTGCTGATGGCACTAACAGAGCAGATTGGTGTGACCGTACAACCACCATCTAAGAAAAGCACCTTTTTAACACCCAGGATAGAAGCACAAGTACGAACAGCTGTCGCTAGCACACTGCTATCTGCACTCAATACATCCAAACCCTTAAACCACTTCCCCATGCTGTTCTCATGCTGCACATGTGAACATCAGCATTCAGCGGCGTTCTCGACAAAGAAGATAATCCCGAGGACTGATGCAACTGAAAACAAAATCCAGACGTTTTAATTCCCAAATGCTCTGATCTTTCCAGCTCACTTTCCATCTTCCAGCGCGTGATTACTAAACAGGACAAACCACAAGAATTAGGTGAAGTTAGTGGTTTGAGAGCAGGGAATACTAATCAGTTTCTGGGAAGAAAAGAAGATATTCCACTCACAAGACTACAGTTTATTAAAGCACCAGAGCAAGCTCTGTTTTCCACTCAGTAAAACTTTAGCATGGCTCAAGTCATCATTTAACCTAATGCCAATGCCACTTACCCTGTTCAAGAAGAGTATTAATCTCAAACAAAGCTGAGCACAGCTCCATGTCCTGTTCACACAAAGCACCGGTTAAACCAAAATGAGTTTGGATCGGTGTGATTCTAATGAAACATTCACGTTGTTTTGAAACAAGGGGCACGTTCTCAAAAAAAAAAACAACACGTCAGCAAATGTTTACCCAGGTGAGACAAAGGATCCTACTCCTGGACAAGCATTTCCTCGCGTAAATATCCCACCAGCTGCAGGTTCCTATCGCCAGCTCGAAGCTGACCCGTCTGCATGAGCACAGCACGTCTACTTTTCGCTCGAGCCTCAATGTAGCTGTCAGTCAATAAAATGCACTCTGACCCTTGGAGACCATGAAAGACTTCCTTTGCTATTGATCACAACCCCCACCATACGTGCTAATGAATGGGCCTGGAGAAAGTCCAAAATTATGTCTGCCCTACATCCCTTCAGCTGTTTAGCTTCTGACTGAGCAGTACAAATGCACGTTAACACACTTATAGTCGGAGAGCTATGACTCTTTACTTCTTTCAACTACATGTAAACCCTGCTCCTCCTCTTTCTTACGTTTGGAAGGGCAGAAACAAAGAATAGGATGTACTTTCTTCATACTTTGAATGCAACCTCAATCCTTTGTGCCGTCTACAAACTCCTCCATTTGCTCTTCCTGTTGACTTCACCTACCTCCTCTTCCTTCCCACCTCCATTCGGTACGTTCCTCCTTGCTAGCAAGCACACAGGTCGTCCCACTCTATGCTACCTAGATTTTAGGTCTTAACATCCTAAAAGAAAGGCCTACAACGTGTTCTCTACAGCATCTGAGGTCACGTAGCTCGCTCTCTCCACTTCATTCAAATATCTTCATTGATCTGTTTTAATTCTCAGTGCCACCTCCCATGAAGGAGGTATCAATATCAAGTCATTATGGATTACTTCTCCCCGAGTCTGAGGCTCCTCTGTGCTCTTCCAACTTTATTTGCTGAATGTTGAATACAGTCGACAAGTTACTTCCATGGAAACCCTACACGACTGTATGTAGCTCCTGCCAACTGAAACAGGTAACAATCAGCTGCTGTCACAGCTACCTATGGAGAAATGAGTGAGCAGAAGGGGATGGAAGTTTATCACAACCAGCAGAAAGCACAGCTCTAGATGACAGTTTTCTAATTATTCCCCTGCACGCAGTCAGGGAAATTTTGGGGAACTTCATTAACGAAGAGCAGCTGATCAAGTTGGCAGTTGTGTGCCATGATTATACTGTTCCTACATAAATAGGTAAATTTGAATGAGTAACATGGATTCCTCATGTAATTTTCTGAAAGATTAATTTCACTGAAAGTTAATCATTAAGAGCCGGGGAGGAGGAACAGGGGACAAAATCCAAAAATTTATGAACTGGTTTACTAGACAGTTTCCCTTTTTCACCAGTGAACTGAATGAACATTACCTACTGGGAGATAACAGAGAATGGAAATAAAATTACAAGGACGGAATTAGAAAGACTCAGGGAATCAAAGCAAGGAGCCTAAAATACGTTTAAAAATAAATAAATTTACCCCAAACAAGAGGAAACCTTCGCATTGCAAAAATAGCTCAGGTCAAACCCCGAACAAAAACCCACGCGTCAATCACCACCCAGAGAAGGCTGAAGCATGCAGTAAATGCGCATACTGGTTTTGGCACAGGAAATGTCATCTGACTTCTTGACTGAAACTGAACACCGTCATAAAAGAGCCATCATCAGACGTTACTTAAGATCAGAAGAATCTCCCGATTTGTATCCAAGCTGAGGAGCGGTGCTGATTTTTGAAAGCGATCACAACACCGGGAGGATTTCAAAGGCAAGTGGTCTGACCCAGGTAATCACCATCCTATCAATTTGATGACAATTCCAAAGTACCACATTAGCTCCTTTGATAATTACCACAGAAGCAGTAACGT